TTTAGGTTGGGGTAGCACAAAAATTGATTTTTTAAATAAATCGTTCAATAATTGTTTGCATTAATTTATTCTCAAAAAAATATACATTTGTCTTCACTCGAACAGATTAAGCGATTCCCAACGACTGATGGAGCAAAGTGTTCTGTGGCAAATGCAATACACAATCCAAACGATCACGCGACAAACATAAGGAAAAAACGATATAGAAAATCGCATTGAGACGCAATATTATTTCAATGCTCGCTGCTCCTCCGCCTCCGCCACCACCCTCGAGACCTGCACATCAATAAATACGAAAAAAAAAAATAGAAGACCAAATAAAAAAAAGGAGGTAACGGCAGCGACGGCGAATGGGTAGGCAAGATTACGCGTGTAAGTGAGCGAGGAATGTATCGGACCGCGCGAGCGCGCGACACGGGTCGTTTATCGCCTCGAATAAGGCAATAAAGACGCGAAGATGACTCTCGAGTACGTGGGGTTGCAGATGCGCGCGAGCGAACGAGAGCGATAGAACCGCAGCGTGTCTATACATAAGACGATGCTGTATACATATATTTAAGGGCCGATAGCGAGTAGCTAGCAGCAGCGCCTTGAAATATGCTCATCCCACGAGCACGAGCCGCCGGAGGTGTTGGCCCCTGTGCAGGCGCACACGCACGCCCGAGCCAAGCCGTAAGAGAGCGAGAGAGCTTGTTACATGTTTTATAGCCAAAAGGTATATGTATGCACGTACTCGACTCGCGAAAGCGTATTATATCGCTCGCGTTCGCTAGGCTACGTTGCGGCAATAATATTTAAAGCGTATATAGCAGCGGATGAAGTATATGTTTTTTCCTTCGTGACTTTATCAAATTCTATAAATTACGTACTTTTGTTGCCTAAAATGTTTTTGTATTATAAACTACCGCGAGCTTTATAATATGGCGGGGCTGCAGTTCGATTGAGCCATACGCGAATATATATTATTTAAAATTCAATTCTCCAACGTTGCGAGGGCCGTGCTATAGATATTTATATGTTGTTTTATGCGCCGAAATTCTTGGCTTGTTTGCTTACGAGATCCAAAGTGACGTTGAGCATAAAACTGAAAGAAAGCTCCCGGTGAGCTCTCGGTGCGGAGCTTACACACACACACATTGTGCAACAGGAAGAATATGAAGTGTCATCCACGCATGTGCGACGCTCGTTTGTCGAATCTGATTTAGCCTAAACGCGACTGACAATTACCTATACACGCGGGGCTTTTTCTAGCGAGTAGAATAAAAAGCTTACTAGCGCGAATTGGGGTTGCGTATGTAAAATTCGAGCTCTTTCACTCACTGACGGCTGTGCCGAGATAACCCTCGAGTATATACATTTGTCAACGTGAAGGTAGGTATCAGGATTTGTCGTCGTCGTCGTGCAAAGGGGGTGTACACAACACGCGAGACAACTTTCGCACGCCTGGCTAACGTGGTAATTGATTTCTTCACGTTGAAGTGCACCTGAAAGCTGCGCACATCGCACCGGGTACTATATTATACCTTTGTTTTCTTTGATAATTCACGCATCGCTTGCGACGAAACGTCAACATTTATATTCTCAGTTTTGAGCGATGATAATTCGCTGCCGAGAAAGTGAGGCGGGTTTTGAAACATAAATAAAAAATTCACGGACACGTTATGTTTGTTATCGTGCTTTGTTGATTAATTTCATCCGAGATGGGTTGTACTTTGTCTTCATTTTTCGGTTACGAAACTTTCGATTGCAAATATATCGGTAACTTGGAAAGTGAAGTTACATTCATTTATTTATATAATTTCATGTTCTTTGGCCAACTGTTAAAAATATTTTTCATTAAAATTAATGTAGGATTATAGGAAGATTTTCCCATACAATTTAATTCTTTACAATTTGAGACAGCTTTAACACGAATTAATCTCCTAAATTTTGAAAACCTTGCTCTAACTCATATGATCATTTTCACTTTGCCACTTGTAGATTTACAGATAATGGTGCTCGCCATCTAGTGGTAGAAACTAATTTTAATTTTAGTCGAATTTTCATACATCTTTTAAGAAATTAAGAACAACATAAATAAGTATTAATCACTCTAAAATAATTACATTTTACAGTATTTATTTTTAAAATTATCTTTCTATTACAACTTTTATATAAATTTTATTCATGCAAGTAGTTTGCAGCATATTATCGAATCGAAAGCACTTTTTTTCTTAGATAAATAATACATTGTTCAACTACAATTATAAAATATCTTAAACTGCATTAAATTGAAGTCCCTATGAAAATTTGAGCTGGAAAAAAGTAACCTTTTTGCAAATTGCGAGCTTCAACTTTTTTTACTTCATTTTATAAAGTTTCACGAAATATCACTCGGCAGTCAGCAGCAGTAGCAGCAGATGCGCGAGCCTCAACCGGGTAAAAATCAATGACGATTGGATGAAAGTCAAAGCTAAAAGCATTTAGCCCAAGGAACTTTTTCCGAACAAAGAATTCAAAGCTTCGTGTGTCAAAGTATAGCTTCACCTATACCAGAGTTTACAGATAAAGAAAAAAACGAGAAAAAAAGTAAAAATTATATCGTACACACAGCCCCCGATTGACAAGGCACACGTATACATTGAAGCTTCTGCATCTTCGGAAATATCATTACCTTTGGCTTTAACCAGGCGCGCAGGTATATAGATTTGCATTTGCGCCGTACAATCTATATCACCGGGGAAAATGTAGGCGAGACTCGGAGAATCCTCTCGGTCGGAGAGAAACTGCAGCAGCAGCAGCAGCAGCAGTGCAAAGCGCGCGCATCTCTCCGCGTAAGAGTATCGGAATAGAGAGAGGGGTATACCCGAGTGGGGAGGTATAAAGCACCGCCCGAGCTTCCACAGAAATAGCTAGAGGAGGAAGAGGTGAAGGAGGAGGTAACCATGTGTATGTGTGTGTGTGTATGTGTGTGTGCACGTCGTCGTGGCAAGAAGAAAGAGGACAACCTAGAGGAGAGAGAGGAGAAGGTTGGGATGATAGCGAGCTTGAAAATATATATACTAGCGCGGTAGCTCACGAGCGTCCTCGAACTGATCAATACTCTCTCCGGCAACCCTCGCCCTGAGAACAGCCTCTGTGTATTTCCGGTTTCTATCTCTTACTCTGCTACTCGGAGCTTTTGCTACTGCGAGCTTTCGATACGCCAGGAAATGAAGAGACGTTTGAGCTGGTGCAAAAGGAAAAACGCATTATCAGTAACTCAGCGCGAGTACATACATTTTTTTTTTTTTTAATGAAAGGTATCTCGCAGAAAGGCAAGAGGGAGCTGATTGAATTTTAATTATAGCTCAAAATTTGTGTGCAATTGCAGCAGCAGCCGTTGCAGCAGACGATCGGAAAAGGCAGTCTACGCGCAGAGGGAGATAATGAGCTAGGGGCATACATTAGCTGCGTCGAGTCTTGCTAATATACCGAGCGGCGACGAGGGTGAAGAAGCTATAACATCGAATTGACTCGCGGCTGAATGTGAAAAGCATCGAGGCATAATTGTCGACTGACTTTCAAAGGAGCGCCAGTACTAAGGTATCTACCGAAGAGCGGATAATTATTACTTAAATAGAGCCATAATTAAGGCATTTTGTAATTGATGCAGTAGAATTACTATTGGTTCTAATCGCAATTTTCCGAGATCGCGACGACAATGTGCGAGATAGGCGTGACCCCCGTGGGCGTTCATCCCTTACGTATATCCGCGCGTGGCTGCGGATTTGCAAAATCGTGGAAAAGGGGTTGTTCCGTGTAGTCATATACTACAGAGTCCGAGGCTGCACTGAGTTGTGCGCAAGCAGCTCACACGATATAGCGACGATCAACAGGTAGGTGTATAAGGCTAAGCTCAGCCCCCTACAGCGGCGTTGGCGTATAAGCGGAGCGTTTGCGCCGGGATAAGCCAAGCGCGAGAGGAGCACGTCGCTCGGAGGGATCACACCCTCGCGCGCGCGCGAGAGGGAGAGCAGCTATATCCTGCCGAGCGAGCCGAAGAGGGTGTGAACCTGGCCGTGGATTGGCGCTCCGAATTATATATATTGAATATACGTCGTGGGTGCAATACGCCTAATGTAGAGCTGCAGCAAAAAAATACGTGGACTCAATTTTCCGCTGGCGGTAAATACAATCGATATTTTTTACAATCTCCTTTAGGCCACGTTGTTTCCTTTCTATTTCTCTGCGTGCACGAGTCCGCCGAGGAAATACAAAAGTATATAAGATATCGTCGCTGAAAGGGCTAAGAAGATAAAACACAGACGCTCGTCTCGGCTCACGCTTAACTTGGCCCTGCGTCCTGCAAGTCGTCGAGAGGTCGACGTCGTCGGGCCGGCCGCGCATTACACGCCTAAGTAAGTGAAGTGGATGGCGGACGTTATATTATATATGTCTGGGCAGTATACCGTGTGCCGTAGGGTCAACCGCATAAGAGAGAAGAGCTTACGACTTTACGTTAGACTCGTGCAGCCAATATCGACTTTTCGAATATATAGATATAATAAAGTACACATTTAATCTAATGTCCCTTCCATCCTTGGTCGAAGATGTGCTGCTCTCGATATAAACGTGAGCTGACCCCTAGGACGCAAACCCATGCCTCTCAAGCTCCGACTCGAAAGAAATGAGTAGAGTATTATATAATTTTTAATCCTATATATGGAAGAGAAGAGGTCGGATCGTTTCCGCGACTATACCGAGAGAGAGAGAGAGAGAGAGAGAGAGAGAGAGAGAGCTTCGAGTGCACATACGATCGAGTCGATACATGCGTGCTGTACCTATCGGCTTATGCGCGAGCTGGCAAACACATGCGGCAACTCGAGCCCAACCGAATGATGAAGTGAGAGAGATAGCTTATCTGCAAACGAAGCGAGATAACGACGAGTGTGTGTGTGTGCGTGTGCCTCTCTCGGGCGCAAGGAACAATCATCGTCATCGCGCGCGAGTTCACAGTTGTGTGCTGCAATACTCTCTGGTGCGAGCCGCCAACGCCACTTGTGCATGAGTATATAGGTGTGAATAGGCGCCTCCACGGAAGAGTGAGAGAAAAGTAAAAAACGGACATGTTTTTTTTCCGTGCCGCGACGCCGCCGCAGCAGTTGCAGAAGCAGCAGCAGCAGCAGCCACAGCAGCTACAGCAGTGGTAGTAGCTGAGCGAGATGCTAGCGGATGATATGCGCCAAGGAAAAGCCTCGAACCGTCGTCGTCATGGCAGCTGTTGGCTGGTGGTGCTTTCTGGTGCTTTTCTCGGGGCTGCAGCTACTGCAGCTGGCGCCGAGGCCGCCGCCGCTCGCCCACGGGAAATTCTTGGCGGCCCAACGAACCGGCACTAAGGAGCTGCTGTACGAGGTGGAGGAGGAGGCGGACGAGGCGACGGGCGTTTTCGAGGAGACGTGCCCGGAAAAGTGCGCCTGCGATCTGAGTCACGCGCCGTCTACCGTGAGCTGCATCGACGTCAAATTGATAAGATTTCCCGACAATATCAGCAAGGAGGTCAGTTTAATAATATATAACGTACATATACCTTTCACGAATCTCGCGTGTACATACTCCGAAGCTCCTACTTACTAATCTCGAGCTTTGTCATCGAGAGCTGTATTGACATCGAGTATTAGCTTTTTTATCCGATAAAGGTTCGATTTTTCCGAGTAATTTTGAAAATTTTTTGTGGACCTCAAAAATATCGTAGCGCTTGATTCACGAGGCGCGTCATCGTACTCGCGCGCATACGTTATAATATTGATTACAAATACCCTCTTCTAAATGACAAGTAATTCCGTTCAAATTCTATCTCGCCTCGCAACGATAACAAATACAGATAACAACGATACGATGAATTTCACGCTGCAACTCGTTCATGAACCTTTTCACGCGCTTTTACCGACACGGTCTCTCTCATGGCGCCAAACATTTGAAATTATTGCCATTATTTCCCGCAGGTCGAGCATCTCGATCTCTCGAACAACCTCATAACGGAACTGGACTTTAGTATCAATGAATTTACCAAACTGCAACACTTGATTCTGGTGAGGAATCGCATATCCGCGCTGCCGAAAAATTTGAGCGGACTCGTTCATCTGCGAAAATTGGACTTGACCGGCAACGATATAATCGACATAGCGGATGGCCTGAGGAGCATCAGCCAATTGAGCCGATTAAAGACCCTCTACCTCGGTGGAAATCCTTTGAAAGAATTGGACGGATTGAAAAATCCTACCTTGCAGTACCTCAACGTGGAATCTTCTGGTTAGTATTGAATTCGAGTTCGTTCACCTTTGTAAATTAACAATAATTGAACTCTTATCACTGGTAAAATAAAGCTCGAGTAGCGCAATGAGCCGATAATTTTTTGTTTTGACAAGTAAAGAAAAATAATTTTTTTTTTCTTCTTTTTTTTTGTCACAGGTATCGAGAGATTGAAAAATACGTCACTGTCGGGACTGCCTGAACTCACGCATCTGATCTTGACGAATAATCCCCTGAAAGAAATAAAAGATCCGTTCAGTTTGAAGCTCAAAGGGCTGGATCTTTCGAAATGTCAATTGGGAGTGCTGTCTTCGCGAGCTTTTCAGGGATTCCCCGAACTCATCGATCTCAGATTGGCGGATAATCGAGATCTGGTCTACAGCATGAGGTATTTTTTTTTTGCATGTTTCATTCTCCGTTTAGTCATTCTTTCAACAATTTCAAAAATTTCAGATCGGAAACTGTTCGTCATCCAAAGTTACAGAAGCTCGATGTATCACGCTGCAACTTGGATCGCCCAGGCCTGTACGGTTTTCCAGCTTTGACTTATGCTAGATTGTCGGGAAATGCAATTTACATGCTGCCGGATCGAATATTCGCCAAAAATCGCGAGCTCACTCATCTGTTTCTTGATGGAAATCACTTGGAACGTTTAAACAAAAGCACGTTTGCCAATCTATCGAAACTTCAAGTTTTAGATCTGTCGTCGAATGGTTTAAAGAGCGTCCCGAACACGGCATTTCGTGAAAATATCGAGCTCCAATTCCTGAATCTTTCTGACAATTTCATGACGGAATTTCCCAAGTTATTCACCTCGGCAATGAGTTTGGACTTGTCGTCGAATCGCATCCAACGCATAGAGCCTAATTCTCTATCAGCTGCTACGAGGTTGTTTCATCTAAATCTCAGTAAAAATCTCATCGAGGAAATGCCAAGTGGGTTAGACTCATCCAACTTGCGAAGCCTCATTCTGAGAAGCAATAGAATATCTTCTTTGGACAATGTTTCAATGAGCAATTTACCTGAATTAGAAAAATTGGACCTTTCTGGTAAGAATTGCATTATTTATTATTTTGATAACGTACTGAAACTGATTTTGGCAAATTTCGATTCAGATAACATGCTGAGAAGGGACATTAGCCCTGAAATATTTTTCGACAATCCCAACCTGCGACAGATCAATCTCCAAGGAAATCTGTGGCATTGCGATTGCGATCAACTATCTCCAAGTTGGATTTACCTGAGCCGGTTAGGCACGAAATCCGAATCTTTGGTCTGTCATACACCAGTAACCGTTTCCGGAGATTCTTGGAAAAAGGCATGTTCCTCGGAATGGAACAAAGTCGTGGCCATTGGTCACAAAACCAATCGCAAAACTTGGGGACTCGTTTTGGTCAGTCTGCTGACCTTGATCGTTTGCGCGGGTACTATCGTGTCGATTCGTCATTCCGTACACATGAAAAGGGTGAGAAGCCAACGAGCGGCGTCTGAAAGAGAAGTGCAAGAGCGACTGAGGCTATTGCAGATGCGGAGGTAAGGATTGTATTTTAATAATTAAATATAAATATGTGATTAATTAATTATTTTATTTGAAAAGAAGCGCACAGGCTCGTGAGGAGCGGCGTGACCACGTGGAGCCTCGAATACATCCAATGGAACTTATTAATCCTCCTAGCTACGAAGAGGCGGTGTCGATGCCTCGTCTGGCCCGCTCTCTAGACGCATTGAATTCCGTGAATGAGAACATCAGGACCACCAATGAAGCCAATCAGAACTCCGTGGCACGAATGACTGCCTCGTCTGAAAGTCTGAGACCCGGTAAGAAGCGACGAATTCGTCGAGTGCGTAAATTGAGATCCCAAAGCGAGGACAATCTCGCGCGTCGCGAGCAACGTCGCGAGGAGAGGCTACGAAGAGAAAGGAGTACCTCGAGGATGAACCTTCGAAATAAGGACGAAGAAGAGGAGAACGAAGAAAATAGAAATAATAATACGCAAGGGACTGAGAGTTCCCAGACTGCTGCCCCCAAAGTTAAAAAGGTACGGACTAAAACGGGAACATCGACCGACGATGAAGATTCCGATGCTCCAAAGATAAATGGAACGAAACGGATAGGAAAAACTGTTATAAGGAACTTAAATAGGGAACCAAAAAGTGGATACAGACCGTCGACCGATGACAGCGAGAGTCACCGTTAAAAGAGATTACGATGTTTTAAAATCTCATCAACACATTGCCAAAATATTAATTTCTTTTGTAATGATAGTACTCAATCAATCACGATTTGGTTAATAAATTGCCGCATAAGCTAGTTTGTAAATAAATTAAACTACTAGATAATACTTAGATAGATTTTTAAATTGAAGAGACTTTATAATGCAGTTCGTCGAAATGAATCGAAGCCATTTTAAATGAATTTTTTTTTAATGTAAAAAAGTAAACATGAAAAATGCGTAATACTTTTATTAAATGTTTAATTTAATAAACAACTTCCATAAATATATATTTGTTTATATATATTTAATGTGATAACAATGTTTAATTAATTTAATAAATAGAATGAAACATGCGTCTCACTGAAAAGTATTGACAACGATTAAAAAAATATTTAATATATAATATGATATTATTACGAAGAAATTTAGTTTAAAATGTTATAACTTACAAATAAATGGATCTAATTTAATTTTTAATTTATTCGTTCGTACATGCTATTATTCTACAACCATGCATCGACGAATGGAGTTAGCTACATCTATCACTATTGAAAATTACAAAATATATTTGAGAGATTATTCGATTTCTCAATTAAATACATGATAGATTAATACATCTTGAAGAAACTGTCTACTTTATCGGATGTAGATATACTTGAGGAGTTCAACAAACTTAATTCGGGTTGAGCATAAAGATAAGATTCAGTGTAAAGGTTTACTTTGTCGCTAATCAAAAGTTGTAGAACCTGAATTTTACGCCGCTCGCAGCTTCTATTTGAAAAAAATTGTATTTCTTTCAGTGGAAAAATGTATGAAGGTTTTACAGAAAAAAAATGTTAAATTTGTTTTTACAAAAGATTGTACTCAAATATTTTAATAAAAACAAATTTTCAGGGTTTCTTAAATTAAACTATTCATTTACACTAATAGTAAAAATAGAAACAATATAAATTTTATTAAATCTGCTCGCTCTAATCGAGCGAATTAAAATAGTGTACAGTTGTGTGATGGCTCATTGAGATAAAAATATTTTCACTCGAACTATACGCTTAATTATTATTAGGAAATCAATGCCTTAAATTAATTTTTATCATTTAATTGCAACAAGACATTGAAATATTTATAAGATAATGTTGAGCTTGAAAATTATTATTATTACACGTTTGTCTCAAAAACATACCATACATAATGATATTTTAATTACAACATTAATGGATACTTTCATAAACTAATTAACAACCAACTTAGTGATTGAAACATTATTCTGAGTAACCTATGCAGAAGTTTACAGCGAAGACTCGGAAGACGCAAGATATTAAGATTCGAACGAAATCACGACATTTTCAATCCGAGCTGTGGAAGTATTTATTTATTTATTTGGAGAACGTTTGAATCCACTTAAACGTGTAATTACAAACTAGCAATACAGTTAATTAAAATTTGGCGTCAGTTTGTTGCTCCTTTCACGGTATGCGCAGAACAACGCGGATGTTTCTCAACTAAGCTCACACTCGCACACATTCTCTCGCTCACTCTCTCACGCACACGGTTGACAAAAAAAAAATTAACATTAAAAAAATGTTAGTACAATACTAATGTTCATTTTATAAAACAATAGTCACCAAAATGTCGTTGAAATGAATTTTATAAACGTGCCTTTCAATTTCATTTTCATTTCTTTTTTTTTTTTTTTTAAATAAGTATCGTACGAGGAGTGACTAGTGTCCGCTCATCTTTGATTCAAATAACGAATGAAATACATGGTTTTCACGAAGAAATTATTTTTATAAATTAAGCGACATCTAACTAACCTGCGTAACTGTGGGGCAGTCATTCGACAGCTTTTTAATAAAAATATGTCCTACATTCTGTTATACTATCGTTCGTTTTTTCTTCAGTACTATATTATAATATAATTGTAAAAGAGAAAAATGAAACAACGAAGCCCGTTGTACTATATCACTAATAGCACAGACATACACGTATACAATTAATATTTAATATTCGTTCTTTTTAGCCCTTGACAATAAAATTAATTGTGTGACTAATATCACAGAACGAATACAAACGAGGCTTTTGTACAATATTGCGTTATATCATTTGTTTCTTTCTTGTTTTTTCAATGGTTATTATATTCACAGGAGATTTCAGCGCGATCCGCTTGGTTTGCTTTTTTCGTAAATTTTTTAAGGAGCTTTGACTAGGTGTTCTCCTTCGTCGTGTCGCTGAATCAATATCGGCGTCTTGGGCACGCTGTCGGGGATCTCGCCGAGGGTGATTCGCACCTTCTTGGCGCTGAGCTCGTCGTCGTCACGGGCGGGACACTCGTTGACGACCTCGTTGGAGCCGTTGATCCAGCTGGACCTCGTCGGGCCATCGATGTCCTCCATCGGCGGCTGAAGTCCGTTCAGCGGCGCCTCGATCTCGCCGAAGGTCATCGACTTTCTCGGTGGCTTGACCGGATCGTTGATCTCGATCGCCGGCCCGTTGGACTTTCCGTTGGCGACGTCGTAACTGTTCTGGTTGTCCTTGGGCTCCTCCGTGTGGGAGTTCATCAGCGGGACGTTCTCGAGGGTGTGGCCGTTGGCCGTGGGTTTGTTCTGGGTACTCTTGGCCTCGGGCTTGTCGATCAGGGACTTTTTGATGTCCTTGAGCTCGGTGCCGCGCTCGATGTCCCTGCGTTTCCTCTTCTTGTGGCAGAAGTCGCTCTTGTACAGACCGTACGCAAGGAGAACGACGAGGATTGTCAACAATACGGCGAGGACGATGTACGAGCCCATTCCCATCTCCGGCTGTATCGAGGATCCCTCGACCTTGCCTTCCGTAGAATCATCATTGACGGCGGCGGAATCGGTAACGATCGTGTCGTCCGAAGGTTTTGGTTGCTCGGTAGTGATGGTGTTGGTCGAAATCTCGATTTTTCTCTTGACGTTCATCTCGAGAGATTTGGTCGGGGTAACCGGGATGAGCTCGTCCTCCTTGAGAGTCTCATCGAGGCTCTTGGCGCTCATCGTCGACGTCGTCATCGGGAGGACGGTCGTCGATTCGGGAGTGGTCGAGAACGGATTTATATTGTTGATTAAACTGGTTAAATCGGGTAACCAAAAGCTTGAGGTCGACGTCGACGTGTTGTCCTTTTCCTCGGTGGTGGGCACGCTGGTCTCGTTGAAGTCGATCGGTGGTACGACAGCGATAATGTCCGAACCGTCGTCTCCCGAACCGTCCTCTTCTTCCTCGGCGCCGGATCCTTCGACCGCCATATTGTCGATGAATACTTCGGGTTCTTCGGTCGAAGAAGTCGAAAGATTTTCCGACGAGAGGTTCATGGATTCCGTCGAGGATGCAGCTGTCGAGCTTTCTTCGGATTCCACTGGGAGCTCGTCCGTCACAGCCTCGGACGAAGAGATCAAATTGGCCTCGGAAGAGCTGCTTGGCATCTCCGTGATCTCTTCGGCATCTTCGGGCATAGGTGTGGTTGCCTCGAGTTCATTGGCTTCCGAGTTGGTATTTTCAACGGTGGCATCGACGGTCTCCAAAGCGGCATCGGCCTGCATCTCGGCATCTTGCTGCTCGAAGTTGCACACGGTTCTCGTGTCAGGCTTTAGCAGATACGAGCCTCTAACCGTGGATGGCTCGGCGCACAGAGATTTCAAGGTAATTTTGACTCCCTGCTGGACCAAGAGATCTCTGACCTCGAGAGTAGCGCAGTCGCAGAAAATCGGATTGTCGGCCAGATCCAGTATTCGCAAAAATTTGAGATCGGCCAGAACCCGTGGAAGCTGACGGAGATCGTTGTGAGCCAGTTTCAGAGTGTGCAATTTCGTCAATCCCTCGAAAATGCCACTCTTGATCTGGCTAATGGTGTTGTTGTTCAAGTCGAGTGACTGCAGCTTTTTCAGACTGGAGAAAGCGCCGGCGTCGATCATCTCGATTTTACCGCCTGACAGGTCCAGATGCCTGATGGTCTTGGGGACTTTTTCGAAGTTGGCCGCGGTCAGATGCTTGGTCGTGGTCGGTGCTTTGAGCACGCGCAGATCCCATGTATCGGCGTAGTACATGTCGTCGAGATCGGTGCAGGAGGCCGTGGTCGGCCTCTCGAGTTTGCATTGCGCGTGGACGGATTCCCACTGCAGCAGGACGGCCAGCAGGAACAAGCAGGTGTATTGGAAGGACTTCATCTTCGAATCTGATGTTACTGCAAACAATAAAATGAGTAATGTTATAAATATCTCGATAATAATTTATCTTTTCAATTATCTTTCTCTCTCAATTGCACGGATAATGTCGAACACAATGCTCCTCAATTACTCCCCGTTGCACATTTTTTTCTCTTATCGCTTTGTTAATGTATGCATTCTCGGCACAAACGATCCTATCTTTCATCAATCGCGTGCCTCGAGTACACAGCATGAAAAAAAGCGGTCATCGCGAGAGTATATTATAGGAAAAAAAGCCATGATCGCGTGCTTACGCGCGCGCGTTTTATTATGTGATGATATTTCCCCGGCGTCAATGTCGATCCGCGAGAGCGAAAAATGTCACACTACTAGTTTTGTGCGCTCAGAGCTCTTTGGGTCGATGCCTATTACACGCGCGTATATGTGTATAATATACGAATCGCGAAATAGCTCGTCGTAGTATCCATGACAGGCCGCGAGCGCGGACATCATTACGATCCGGCCGGTAAAACGTCGAGCGATAATTATGAGCGCGCTTGGTGCAGTGCAGTGCGTGCTAATTATGGCAACGTGTGTGTGTGTACGTACGTACGCGACTTGCTTGTTTGTTTGTTACTCTCTTACTTTGCTTGCTTTTTTCTTTTTTTTTTTTTTATATTGTTACCTTCGCAGAGCTTCTATACAAATACTACGCGAATCGGTGACATGTTTGGAATTAACGCTGGGGCTCGCAGCGCAGAGATAGCGGGATATATTTTCGAGTCAGTCAAGAAGAAGAGATGGTCTGGCGAGATAGCTGTCGAAGTGATTTTTTTGCACGAAGGCAAACAGAGATACAACCCAATAATGTCACATTATAGCCGAAATCGAGAAAGATTAATGGAGGATCGTTTCGTGAAATATGAAGAGCCTCGAGAGCGAGAGAGATACCGATTATCTAAAAATTGTAATGTGCTTCACACCCGAGCAAAATTGTTCAATCATGATTGATCTTTGACACGTATTTTATAGGAATATATAGCTGTCGTTTGTTCCAACGGATCGCGTTACAATAATTCAATTTCCAAAGACGCGTTATTGCCATTAGTCTTGGCCGCACGCAAGAATCAATTTTTCCCCCAGCTATTTCCTACTTTTTTCATTTCATTATTCATTAAAAATTCCAAAAGTGTGTTTTATCGCGCGAACAATGAAAAAGCAATTACACACGAGCGCACACGATAATGGCTCGAGACTCGTCGCGGCACTGACTGCTGTGGCTTCTTTTTCTTCGCGTCCAATGACTCAATATGTCTCATCGGTGGCGCGCACGCACTCGTAAATTACCGCACTAATCGATAATCTAACCAACAATGCGCGCGTGCACGCATCGAGTCTAAGTAAGTACGGAGAGTCGCGCGAGTAAGTACTTTCAAAGGCCAAGACGCCGCCAACTCCCACGCAATATCTCTGTGCGTGTGTATTTGTGTCTGTATAAGTATGTGCAGAATGGAGCCACACGATAAAAAAAATTTAAGTAGCCCGATCGCGAGAGATACATACAAAAATAGAAAGAGACTGGCACAATATCGGCTGAATGGCGAAATAGAAAGATCATGTCTGCAGAAATGAAGGACGCTTGTTTATGTGTATATATCTGCGCGCTAACTGTGTGCGCTATATAGAATCATCTATTCCACCACTATATATACTATATATAATGCGACGTTGTAGTAGTGGAATGTCAAAAGAATAAAAAAAGAAAGAGTATAAAGCGGTATACTACTATACTAGTGTAACGTCGTTCCTGGAGAATCATTCGGGCGGCGTTTCGCGGAACCTCAGGATAGGATAGGCGCTCGTCGCGTGTGCGCAGCGCAGCGCATGATGGTAGGCACTTGGGTGATAGCTATATACAAGTGAGAGAGAGAGAAAAATTCTGCGGTTTTCGATGAGCATTATGATCGAGACAGTCTATATGCACTTTTGAAGTTGTAGGCGAGCTCGATTGCCCGAAGAGGAGAGGACAGAAAAAAACGTGGCCGTATGTGGCGAGTTGCGTCCAATTTTTGTCTTGGAGTTATATGTTTGAGCTTTGCTGGACTTACGGTTATAGTCAAACATATTCATTCTTAAGTATTAATTATCACCCCGGCGACTATTTGCATAATATTTACTCAAGTGAAAATATCAACTTCCGGGTCAATAATAGAACGCGCCGATTGTTGCATTTTACACTCAAATATTTTATTCAACGAAAAAAAAATTTTTTTTCCAACTTCGCCTGCGTTCTATACTTGACGTTCGTTTCTGCTACTACCCGCACACACTTGATTGAGCAAGGCTCGCAGCTCGCGAGATGAGATGTATCGGTTAACGCAACGATATCTCGGCACTGCCTTACATTTTTTCTATCTCTCTCAAGAATTCAGATGAGGAAAGCTGCGCGCGAAATGGGTTTGGCAGAATAGAGAGATATTAGCAATGGAACACGTGTCTCTCTTCCGCCCAACGACGCAGCGTTTCTTTTTTTAGCGAAGCTATACAACGTCGACTTAGATACATTATTCCGTGCTCAGCTCCGCGTATAGATAAGCAGAGCCTAGTATTGATTTTTCCAATTATTATCCGCGATAACCGAGTGTATACTTACAATTTTTAATTCAGACTTTGGCCTCATCAGTGTTTCGGTCCTCCTAGTAGCATCTGCAAAAGAAAAAAATATGACAAATCAATATTTTGTAATAAATTAATTCAATCTCAATTAATTTTCGAGTAATAAGTATAAATGATGGGTCATTAAACACGCTTGGATGATACTTTAATCGCGTTCTGCCACTCGAGTACTTATTTACCGAAAAACGTCGCAAAAAAAACATTTAAAATTAAGTAAATTGCCTCATACACGTACGACGACGCGCACGTATGAGGTTCGTCGAAAAATAACATTTAATATCATACATAAAACAAGGAGACTCGAGCAAGAGAGAGAAATATATAGAGAGAAAAAGCGTCGTCGACTCGCTCTTTTTTTCTCTTGCATTGTAAAAAGAACCAAGGATAATTGCACTAGGTTGTGACTCGTGTTCAAGGTAAGAGCGTAGTTGCTGTCAAAAAAAAAATGAGCCGTCTACGTATGGAATAATAATCGTACGTAATCGTGCGAAAAAAAAGAGAAAAGTCGCTTATTGTTTTATAAAATCTCGTTTTCAAAAAGAAGCTCGTAAACTGCACGATCGAGAGAATTACGCGAAGCGAATGACCACTTAGTCGAAGACATGTCCAATAGAGACGCGTCGCCAAAACCGTTGAGATGATACAACGACTCTGAGACTCTGTGCGATAATGATATAACCGAAAACCATACGTATACATCTATCCAACATCTGCGGCCAATTACTCTGCTCTCGCACGCTTGGGAACGCTTTGGGCGAGCTCGCGGCAACCTGCTGCAGACAACGGAGCACAAACTGAACCATACTACAGTTTGTGCGCGTGTGGGTAGAGCAGACGGCGCTGATCGTGGAGCAAAAAATAAAAACATAAAAAAGACGTGTCTGCGCGCGGCGCGGTGTATGAAACTTTTTCAAAATATACAATGAAGTAGTATAAAGCGAACTCGTATGTAGAAATAAATATACGCGTCTATATATCGGTCCAGTTCGCCGACGCCCTAACACCATTCGCAGCTGATAGGCTCTCGCGGGCGGGCGGCAACATTACTACTACTACTACGTACTGCAGATAAGAGCCCAGCGACACTTTACGCCCGAACACTTGTTTATTATAGCCGTGACGCTTGGCATTTCGGTATCTGAGGCAGAGTGTGAGAGAAGCGCCGATTGATTTAGATCGTCGTTAACGAACTGTTTAACAGATTTGCTGTTTCGCATGGCCCGGGTTAAACGGAGAGACAGACCGTCGCCGCATGAATCGACCTTTAGTCAAATTGTAATCATCGAAAAAGCTGCCGCCTGACACTCACACACATACTGCGTCTATATTTAAGCACGTCGTTTACAAGACCAGTCAATTTATAGATATTGCCCAGAGAGTATATCGAATATAATACCATAAAATGATTTCGAGCACAGCTTTTAATATATAAATACATCTTAGCAGCAGCAGCGCTTTAAACATGAGCCACTGAAATTCGAATTTTTACGTACACGCAGTATATAAGCGCACCGGGCGCAGGCTGAGAGAAACCTTACGATCGCCACGCGAAACTCAAAAATATAATCAAGCCGCAAAGCCTCAATTTTCCTGACTGCGCACTACCTCTGACGCAAAAGTAAGTAGGCACGATGCGAGAGGCGAACGCATTTTAATTTCGCTCGTGTATTATATACGCACGAAGCTGCGCACACAAAAGAGAGAGGACCACCAGCCAGACAGACGCATTATGCGCGATCGGCCAGTACTAATTAGTCGGATTTTTTTTTCTTACTCTCCGCTCGGCAGAAAAACTCAACGAAAAATAAGACAACGACAAAAAAAAGTTGCATTCTTGGAATGTATGCAAGCGGTATAACGCGAGTAAACAAGGTAAAGATCAAGTGTGAATAATTGAATTTAAGATCGCAAAACATAAATCAACTTTTTAGATATAGCCGTTATTACGCTAGTCCACGTCCGGAGAAAAATCTCATAAATTACTTAATCGGGATAACGATACTGAAATTCGAAAAAACCACCATAAGCAACGTAACACGTATAGCAGATAAATCGGATGCAAATATTGACCCGTACCTTGTCATTAATTTTATTTATCTCTTAATATATAATATATAATAAACGCGTGTTTTATTATGAGCGATTAGCATATTGTGGAAGATTGAGTGACTTACGGGCGAAAGTCGAGTAGGTGTCGTCGATCTACAGCCCGATATAATATATTTTAATGCTAAATATCCTTCTGCGCAGTGCGGATTTCCTGCGCCGTGACTCCGGATCATCCGGATCGATCTGCCGAAATTTCAGGACGGGATAGCTCAATATTATATATACCTATACAGAAATCGAGAGATAATTTTACGGTGTACTCTAACTTGAATCTTTGCGAACGAGGCGAGACGGCCTTTTTCATGTTACATATATATTGGCTTTATACATTTGCTATCTGTACTATACGCTCACATAGATATAACGCACCTAGGCGTAAGTATTATAGTGTGTATAGAGCGCGAGTTGGAGCATTATATGAGTGACTCACGACAGGTATGTAACGCGGCGCGGCGCGAACATACATAAGGTGTAAACACACTTTCTACATAATCCTACGTAGGAATCGCGGGATTGATTTATGCTATCGTTTGTACTACACGTAGGTAGGGGCCAAAGTAGCTCTGTACGCATAATTCGTCGTGGCGCATGCTCGAGCGCGTTATATTACGGCGCAAAAAAAAGAGTCGCAGTCTCCAAATCTCCTAATGAGCTGTATGTACGTACCGAAGGCTAAAACGATGCGGCGAGTATATTATAACGCGTGGCTCGCGTGCTGTGCAGTCCACGAGGTCGAGCCGATGCCGTCCATCGGCTGCTGTGTGCCTTGTGGAAATGCACGCGTGTGCTGGCTCTATCATTATACGATGAGTTTCGTGATTTTATATGTGACATTAGCACGCGACTGATTATCGTCCCCGCGCGCGTATTATGATTCGCAGAAGTGCAGCAACAACTTTATGTTTTACGCAAAAAACGTAAGGTAAAAAAAAAAATAGACGATACTGTGTAAGATAGGGAAAACCGAAAAATCCGACCTAATTAGGAATCTTGGTCGTTCGCAGCGCGTCGTCGAGATAGCTACGCTTATATGTATACAGATTAAATTCCTGCATCGCGTTGCGTAAGTTTCCGCACTCGTTTCCTCGATATGCGTGGCGCGCAGCGCAGCGGCCAAAGTGCAGCGGTGCGAGTCCTACACCTGTCGATCCTTAAAGGGCTATCGACGTCGTCGTGCGACTCGACTGAATTCCCGTTACTATTATATGCAGCGCGAGAAAATTTAACGATGCGTAGGCTGTCGCCTGTTACGCTGCATATACAAACAGGCACGCACATGGTGTAGCTATGACGCGCGCACCGATCGTGTGTCTCGCCGCGTGCACTATGCGATCCTATTCGGATCGGGATTACCTTTTTTGTGCGAGCGCGCGGAGCTCATCTCTGCTCAAGGTGGCCTGTGTCTATACGATATCACTCGAGCCTTGATTAATTTCGACAAAAAGTCAATCGCACGCAGACTTAAGATCGTTGCTGGCCACGATTATTTACCGAATCTATTTTCGCATCAAGGAAAAGCACACGTACACGTTATTACAAAGTCGTTGTCGCATTAAAGCGCGTATCGCGCCTCAATTACCGATCATCGTGACGTTGCGTTATTACACGCACACGGCGCAAGCCATATAATTAACATATCCTCTCTATCTCTCTCTCGTGGACTTTCGTATTTATCCGCGCTCGCGAGCATTGAATTTTCGCTCGTACGCTCTGTAACTGCTGCAGCTCGCTGCTAGATGGCTACGCGCGCGTACGCGTGTGCGGAAATGGCATCCGGACTTATAAATCGACCATATTGCTATTGCATTGGTTGAGTTTATTTCTCCCAATGACATCTCAACGCGCGTGACCTTAACATCTCATTCATCCTCGGCAGATTTGCCCAATTCCACTTTGATATACATGCGCTCGATTTCGGTTTTACTTTCGCCGCACTGGCCTCTATATCACTGTGCCGTGAGCTAATTCATATACGTAATACAGAAATCGTGTATCTATCTCTCTTTGGACTGATTGATCTTGCGCACTTTGATTGTTTTGGAAAATATTTTTATCCGCGATTGCGAAAAGCGCGCCTATATTCATAATCTCGAGCTAGCTCATTTCTAACGATCATTTGCCCCATAGCTAATCGTTAATTTCGTACACTGGGCTTTCGTCATATGTATCTCGCCGACGATGAGCCGAGCACGAGTGATATTATTAATGCCCGAGTGTTTTTTCTTCTTTTTACAATTTTCCGCGCTTGTGCTTTGTAACGCGTCGCTGTGCTGACCCACATAATGTGTGTCATCGAGATCGCTTATAGCTAAGTTCTGCTCGCTTTTTTTACAACCGACAAAGTAATCGGGAAAAAATAAATAAAATCAAGTTCCCAATCAACCTTCGACTAATTAAGCTCGATTGAAAAATGGCCATACGCTGAATTATTGCTGCGCGCGTATTATAAATTTCATTTTCTAAATCACTCCCGATCGCTGTTGAGCTCTTCCAGCCGAGCGCAAATTTCTCGAGACCGATATCGCTCGATCAAGATCGGGCTTAATTTGCTGGGAAATCAAATAATTTTATCGACATTCCAGAGGCTAAAATATATTTACCTTACGCACTCGATGTGAAATGTGTTTGCGATGTCGTAAGTTCGCGATTTGTTGTGCGCGCCGTCGTTGCTCGATATATACATTATATATATAGCACTAGATACGTGCACTTATAAAATGACCGAGGAAATACATTTCAAAGTGCAAATTACGCGACATGCACGCGTGCACACACGAATCAAAACGTTTGTTATATATATAAACGTGGAAATAAATAGCCGATCGAAAGGTCATAGGGCAGCAGCAGCTGCGCATCGAGGCTCTCGGCTGCATTATCGCTAATGCACCGCAAGTACGCGTGTACGAGTCGATGCATTAGAG